TTAGAGTATACCGAATCAGTATAGCTATCCTTCTTCTGACATAGCAACGCAATTTTAATCAGTATCGACGCTAGATAATTTTTATCTTCTTGATCGAAGCTCTATGTCTCATTCAGTCCTTCGCAAGCTTCCTTCAAAGGGGGAGTCCATAGGCGCGAATACTCGGATTGGGCTTGGAAATCCCCGCTGAGCGGTCTGTCTATTGATGCATCGGATGCTTGTCCGAAAGCTCTGTTATCTCTATCTTCTGAATAATTGACTTCTGGGTACTCTTCTCCAACCAATAGCTCGCTGGCCACTATCACTTCATTCGTTCGTTTCGTACACTCACTCCACTTGTGCTTTAGTGCTCGCTCCGGTACACTCTTGGGTTGGATATACAGATTGAAAACAAGGATTTCAGACAGCACCCTTGAGAAGACCGATCTTCAAGCAGAGAATCATAACTCTAGCCTCATTTTGTAGACGGGTCATAAACCCTCGTTTTTATGGTAGAAGGATGCCCTGTATCCAAATCTTCATCCGTAGCAAAAGGAGAATCAGCTAAAACAAGAAACGCATTGGCATCCAAAGAAGCAAGGGGGAGCTAAAACCCTGCATTCAATAATGGCATAAAAATAAGACTAGAAAGGCTTTCGGGCTTAGCACCCGAACGAAGACACGACCCGTATTCTTTTCTCTTTCCGTTAGTCTTTTCTTTTTTCGGAATCAGAGGAGCAGCCAAAGGGGAACCTATTTGCACCTGAAAAGCGGTACAGTCTGACCTTCCCCTTGCTTTCGGGTTAGGAAAAGACTCTCACCTCACCATCTCACTTTAAAACCGAAGGAGTTGAGGGATTCTTGCTTTAATCCGTCCCGCCATTCCTGACTTCCCAGCTGTATATGCTTTAGCAGATAAAGACTCTTTGACGGGCTACTCTCCAAGCAGCACGACCTCGCTACCTCCCGAAGCTGCCTAGTCACACAATGCAGTTGGAGCTAGAGACGAGGATGGACCAGGCTTATCCAGAATCGGCCAAGCTAAGCAAAGAGGAACCTCTTCCAAACGGAGCATCCACTATGAGAAAGATGCTCCCTACAGCTACGAAGGAAGAAGAAGATAGACAATGCAGAGAAGCACCTAGACCAAGAGAGAGAAAGAAACTTCCCGCCGAAAGTACTCATTTTTTCTTTGTTCGCTCAGTGATTGAAGTTGCTCTCCTATCCTTTAGTGAAAAAAGGGCCATTGACTTTGTCTCTCTCTTGGACTCTGTTCATGGAGGGTACTGAGCGAATCGACTACACGGAACAATCAAGCCCTGGATGGAAGGGAAGAATGTGGACAGATGGAACCAAAGAGGAGCTCGCCAAGCGGAGGAGCTTTTTGCAACCAACTACTTAACTAGTCCGGAGCAATGTCCCTATGCTATGTTCCTGTCTCGAGGCAAGTCTGCTATCTTCGCCTCGTTGTCTGCCTTTACTTAGTCTTTCTTTCCTTGACAAGAGAACTGAAATCGGAAAGATAACAAACAATTAATCCACTGAGGGACTTTCACGAGAAGGCTGTTTTCTTAGCGTTTAATGGCATGCTTATGAGCCGGTTGTCAAATACTATACGAACAGTCCTCTTCATTGCTCTAGGCCAAGGCTGGCAAATCAAACATATATATACAGTTCCTTATTTTCCTGTGCTTCCGGGGCTTCCGTTTGAGCCTAAGTCTGATATTCCGCGTCTCCACAAGTCCTCAATTCAGGGGTTCCACGTCCAAGACAGGTCTGATCATCCGAAGCCAAGTGAGCAGCTGGGGAGACTTGACATAATCGTTAAACCAATACTACAGGGTTGACTCCTGTCGCCCTTAGAAATAGTGGAAGTCCGTCTCCCGCTCTTATTCTGTCAAGTGATCTCTATATTGGTGTCGTTGGGCATCGAACGATGCTTCGGAATGCTCCCTCTTGTGAGGCCTACCTAGGCTAGGTGGGGCTACTAAAAAGAACTAAGCCTATGCCGCTTTCCCCCGCTTTTGATGCCTAGCTCTGTCGCTACCTCCGGAGTCACCGTTTGCCGCTATGTAGCTGCTAGAATTGAGTTTGACTCTTAAGGGGCTCAATTTACCGAGAGAAGGGCGTATTTCCCAGCAGCTAGAGGTGGGAATGGAGGGCCTACTTCCTAGTATCTAGTTCTGCTAACCAGAAACCATCCCTTTCTTTATCTTAGTAGCCCCCCCTGATTGAGGGATTTCACACCACCAGTAAGTAAAGCTAAGCCCTGGGAAGCTTCCTCCATGGCTTGACAATCCCGCTCTTTCTTTAAAAAGATAGACGCCCCCCCAAAAAAGGTTGCTGCTGAACTTCAATCTTTTGTTCGGAGAAGGGCACTTCTTAGAAATCGGTTACCGGCCTCTCCCTCTCCGAGGAGGACACATAACTCCGGTTTGCCAAGCTAGTACACTTAGCCTATCCCTTCATCCACTCTGTTTCCTCGAGCGAGAGTGCAAAAGTATGAAAAAAAGAATGTAAATTACATTTAACAACATATATAAGTCAGTCATACATAAGTAAGTAATCTTGCCTCTTTGGGGCTAAGCCCACTACATCGGGAATCCCACGAAGTGGATATGCTTCAGAAGGAGATGAGGCCTAAGCGGTATTGCTAGCAAGCTTGACTGTTTCTGTCATCACTATTAGCCAGTGGGGAGGCACCAATCTTTAAGCGTGGCCAACCTTAAGACTAATACGAGTCAATCGGGGGCACAGAGTCCGATTCCCCGCTTCCACCTCCCAAGTACTATTCGTATTATTTATTTGTCTTCGTAGACCGCCCTGCAGATAAGGTTTCACATCCAGCAATCTGATCATTCAAAAGCCGGGTCCACGTCCGCCTCCACATCCAAGTCCGTTGAGTCCGTAGCACCCGCAGCAGTAGCTTATTCAAAAGGTCTGGGGAAGGCGCACAAAAAACATATCTTTATATAGAAGGATCAATTAGCCAAATTGACCCCTCAAGTTATCGATTAGGAAGGGACCCCGAGATATTATAGCTTTATGTGACTCATAAACCTATAATATTATTGAATTTCAAAAGCGGATAGACTTAGGAGCAAACACGATCAAAGTTGTTAGCAACTATTCCTTTGGGCGGGACCTCCTCTCGCCGTTACAGGGTCGTTGATCACCGAAACAAGGGGCAAGAAGCGGTATTGATATAAGGGCTCGATTCGTCACATCATATTGTTCTCCTGGATTCGTGCAGAAATAGGACCTTGAAAGGCGCTACTCAGCCCTAAAGGTCGGAGCTGGACCACTCTGTCAACAGTTCTACCGCATGCATATCTGTCTTACTACAAGAGGCCTGCCTATTACCATTCCGGCTCCTATCTCGGTCCATCTCTCGCTGCGCATTGAAGTCCTTCACCCTCTAACGCGGTCTGCGCTCTTTCCCGAATCTGATAGACAAAAATGAAGGAATCCGACCTTTCACTTAGGAATGCGTGCGCTACTTGACGTCCTGATAGATGAAAGAGGGCAGGCTCAACCATAGGGCCAAGGGCGGTCTACTGTCTACTATAAAGTAAGCTCGATCCATATTCAAGATATCCCACTACCTTATAACTTTACTAATTGCTGGTAGCATTCCTTTAGTTCAAGAGTTCAGGAGTGGGAGTGTACTCTTAGTCAAATCCGATATGACATGTGTTCAGTGCGCACTATCTCCTTATTATAACCGGGCTGATAACAAAGCCAAGGGAGAGGAAGCTAAAGTAGACCTCGAGCTCTGGGATCAAAACCAAGGTTTCTACCCCTCGAGCTGCTGAACTTCGATCATTGGATTCAAATGTGATAGCTTTATGCCAAGACTAGACTAATTGTTGGAGTTCCCTTCCACTGGCTATAAAACCTTCCGAATGGGTCGGCTAGTACTTTCTTTGATTGATGATATACCTACGAAGTAGTAAGCATTGCTTTCTTATTTCCATTTGATGAATTAAGTATAGCCCACTTCCTAAACTTGATCTGTAGCCGCCACCCTTGAGTGCAATAGTACTTTCATCTTTAGCAATGGACTTGGCACTCGCTTTCTTTAGCCTTAACTCCTGCACCAGCTACAACTTAAGGTTGTTGGTTTGACTTTGGCATCGAATTAGTCTTAGACTTTAGCTCCGGGTCTAGTTCCCAACTTGAATAACTTTGCTAACTAAAGCTATTTAACCCAAGAAGCAACCTTTCAACGAGGGCTTCCTATCAGGCTGGCTAAACTACTGTTTGTCTACTCGAAAGATATATTTAGGTAGGTAGTAGACCCGGACATCGCATAGGCATGGCCCTCCTACTAGAGTGCTTTCTCTCTCTTTATTCGATGATTTGCTTTCAGTTGGTTTCTCGTAGAGTTGATAACGTCTGTATTTAGGAGCGATCTGTTCATCCAACTCGAAAGAATTTATCAAATTATTCCGGATCTTTTTCATCAATATGGACTGACCCCACCAACGAGAAGCGCCCCCTTTCCGACGATCGTTCGGAACTTGCTTAACGAGGCGGGGCCCCCTGATAGGTTAAGTTTCTTAGCCGATTCTTATCAGAGCTTGGTGGAAGCCAACATACAAAGCCCGTTTTTCCTCGAAATTGTTCAGGCTGTGCTTACACTAATGGGCGGTGGGGGCTAATCCGTTAGCCCAGGGAACAATTGCTTCAGGAAGACTTTTTTTTTTCGGTATGCCGCTCCGCGAGCAAGGAGCGAGAGAAGCAAGTGGGCTGTGATGATGTCAGAATTTGCACCTATTTGTATCTATTTAGTGATTAGTCCGCTACTTTCTTTGATCCTACTCGGTGTTCCTTTTCCATTTGCTTCCAATAGTTCGACCTACCCAGAAAAATTGTCGGCCTACGAATGTGGTTTCGATCCTTCCGGTGATGCCAGAAGTCGTTTCGATATACGATTTTATCTTGTTTCAATTTTATTTATTATCCCTGATCCGGAAGTCACCTTTTTCTTTCCTTGGGCAGTACCTCCCAACAAGATTGATTCGTTTGGATCTTGGTCCATGATGGCCTTTTTATTGATTTTGACGATTGGATCTCTCTATGAATGGAAAAGGGGTGCTTCGGATCGGGAGTAATCACTAGTGATAGGGCAAAAATCGGGGGTCAGGACAAAGGAAAGAGCGATGCCTACATTAAATCAATTGATTCGTCATGGTAGAGAAGAAAAACGGCGCACGGACCGTACTCGAGCTTTGGATCAATGTCCCCAGAAGCAAGGAGTATGCCTGCGTGTTTCAACGAGAACACCGAAAAAACCTAATTCAGCTCTACGTAAGATAGCCAAAGTACGATTGAGCAATCGACATGATATATTTGCTTACATTCCGGGCGAAGGTCATAATTTGCAGGAACATTCTATGGTCTTAATAAGAGGAGGTAGAGTGAAAGATTTGCCAGGTGTGAAATCCCATTGTATTCGAGGAGTCAAGGATTTGCTGGGAATTCCGGATCGAAGAAGAGGCAGATCAAAATATGGTGCGGAAAAACCCAAATCGAGATGAATGGAAGATGCCTCTGGAACTTGTTTTTCTCGGTCAGGAGAGGTTTATCCTTTGCCCCAATGATGGCCTTTTTAATCTTATTTGTATTCCGATCGAAGAAAGAAGGTTTCCAGTCTCATTCAACCAACTCTCTTTTTGAAGCAGATAGTTCACAGTGCTCATTCGATTCGATAGAAAAAAGTCACCCTATGTTTGTTGAATTATTTGAAGCTCTTGCCCCGTTTTTGAACGCTGGGCAAGAGGCGCTGCCGCAGGCGCCCGATTCCCTACCTTTGCCCTCTCAAGGAGAAGGAGCGCTACCGCAGGTGCCCTCTCAAGGAGAAGGAGCGCTACCGCAGGCTCCAAATCCACTGCCCTCTCAAGAGGCCCTGCGGCAGGCGCCAGCACCGGCTGAAGTTGCCCACCCCGCTCCCAACCAAGAGGAGGTTGCGGCACTCCGAAGGGAGATTCATGATTTAATAAAAGAAAAACTTCGGAAAGAATCTGAGAGAGGGGTCGGTCCGCTGTCCACTCTGTTTCCCGAACAGAGGGAACTTAACTCGAGGACCGCCCACTTTATAATGGAAACCGACCTGGAGCTCTCCCCGGAGACAAATGTAGATACTCTCCGTGAATGCGCGGATGATCTGAGGGAGGATCCAAATCTCCTTATGACGCTCATGAAACCCTATTTGCCAGAAAAAAGTGAGTCTGTCTGCATTCCCCAAGAGCAGCTTTTCATAGTACCTTAACTCTTTTGTCGTGGCGCTGCTGGATGCTTCTGATCAATAGGAAGAGGAGTAAAAAAAAAAGCTTATGATGAGCATCTATTTTGGTAGATCATTTCCAAGATCTAATTCCAGTTTTTTCTTATTTAGTGGAAACGCCTTACAATCTGAAGTTTTACGCTTAAGGGAAGAAATGTTCTTGGTGGATGCAGGACCTGGGACCCCCAGAATTTGTATGCAAGATGAGCCTACAGGAGTGCCAATCAACCGAGCCAGCAGGCTTGAGAATAAGGTTGGATACCTGGATCTAGTGGCCGGTGAATCACTGATCAAAGAGAAGATTTTGGAGAGATTCTTCATCGATCTAGTGGCCGGTGAATCACTGATCAAAGAACGAGCAGCCGCCAGGTTTAATGATTTGGTTGGATCCCTGGATGTAGTAGCTGGTGAACCGCTTCTTCTTCTTCCACGAAGATTCAGACAAAACCGAGCTTGGATGGAACTGAACAAGATTTGGCGAACGAATAAAAAGGTCAAAGGCTTTCTTATTGAGAAAGGAAAAAGAGGTTATTCAGTAGCCATCGCAGGTTTCATTACTTTTCTTCCATTCCGTCCTCACATAAGGAAAAGGATAAAAAATGATCGATTCAGCATTGAGAGCATTAACCCAAAAAGGACGAATATTGTGGTGTTCTAAGAGCGGCAGATCAAACAAGAACTTGAGGAGCTTGCCAGGATGGCTTGGTAAGCAAGCAACCACTGATGTAGGCGCCAACTCCCAGTTCTTTTCTCTTCTTTCTTTTTTAGTTTAGTGACAGTTCATCAAAACAATTGTCCAAGATTGCTAGATCGAGCACGCGACGCGCATAGTATAAAGTTCAAGAGGGGGTTGTCTCCTCTTCAACATTTCTACGACTTCCTTGCCTTCCCCTTTTCATATAGCTCCTTTTTATCTTCCCAGATTTTCCTCCATATCTTCGCCGCCTTCTTCATCATCTTGTTCCATCCTTCAGGGATGTTCGGTAGGTGTCCGGGCCTCCTAAAAAATCTTTCCGACAAGAATGCTGCTTTAACATTGTAAGACATGGAACCGTCTCGCTCTTGTGAACACTGATCATAAGTGACAAAAGCCGCCGGAATCCTCATTTTTTGTCCATAAGCTCTCCTCGCTACTCTAAGAATTTAAAATGTCTTTTTATACACTGGTGCAGATGATTGCCCCTAAGGCACCGATGGACCAAGGCCTTCGTCTATCACCCGAATTTCTTGATTCACGGCGTCGAGTATTTGCACTTTCGATCTCGTGACTCGACCTGTAGACGGTGATACCGCCACCTTCGAGGACGTGATCTTCTCTTAGTCACTTGTGCTGGTGGCGGAGAGGTCGGCGCTTGTGTTCTGGCTCTGGGGGGTGTTCCCTTTCTAAATTATGACGTACTAGGTTAGGTTGCCATCTAGGTCTCGTCTCGGTCGGGGGTTGACGAGTCAAGGCGCTTCCTCTTCTTTATATAGATGCGGATGGAGAAGGAATTCGGATCCGCTTGGCTCTTTATTTATTATAAAGAAATGTATTCCCACTTGTGGGAGTTGCAGAAGATAATACAAATTTAAAAGAAATACCCGAAATTTTAAAAGATGCATAAAAATCAGTATGGGAATGCGGAATAAGGGGCGGGTGAAAACCCAACATGGTAGGGTAGGACGGGGAGGCAAAGATAAAGATGGTAGGCATAGTCAGCCCTGTAGGTGGAGGCACACGAAGACCACACACATATCTCTTTTGAATCTATATCCCACGCTCATCAGCTCTTCGGGAAGAGAAGGACTCCAGTCAGGAGAGATTTCTGAGTGCATGAGTTGAGTTAAGGAAGGGGGTCTTAAGCCCCCATGGGGAAATACACAGGAAAGAGGGAATGAATTTATTGAAATCAATATCCTAGGCCAGCCCGGAAACTCTCCAATCAAATAATAGGTCAACTCCCCTTTAATGGTAAGGGCAAGGGGTCAATCCAATCCGGTACCTTCGCTTCCTTGTTACACATATCCTATCTTTTATTTAAATACATCCCGCCCACATCACACTCAGCCCTTACTTGGTCAGCTAAACATTTTTGAAAAAAAAAAAATACTTTTCCGGTCAGAAGTGGGGGGTTTGGGTGCGCTTCTTCTTCCTGCTGGTTCAGGAGCTTAGGCCCAAGCGCTAATAGTTTCCTAGTTGGAGTTGGCACACGTAGGCCCGGAACCGGAGGTTGGTTGGCGCATTCGGTAAAGTATTCCGCTAGCTGGCGCATAGCAATAGCAAGCAAGAAAGCTCAAAGCCAGCAGTAAGTAAGGTCCAGAGCAGGAGCAAGAAAATGGATTCGTGAGTGGCTTTGTCTTTCGTGAGCGTAGGTGTAGGCAGTAAAGGAGCACGTATGCGCAGGTGCCGGAGTGAAAGCCAGTTGCTAGCTAGGTGCGCTCGAATCCCTTGACTGCGGTGCTATTGAATGGTATAGAATCGGACAAGCAACTTCTTGTCCATGGGGAAAGGCCGGAGTGAAAGCTCAATCCAAGACATGAAAGCGGAATCACAACTGTCGAAGTAAGTAGTTCAATGCCAATGAAAAAGACAAGGTTTAGCCTAGTCTAGTCCTAAGGAAAGCAAATGCAAAAAAATTAGATGTCATCTAATGCCCTCTTTGAATGGCTTGTTCAAGAAGGGATTTCTGTTCTTAGAAAGAAAAAGCTCTTGGTGAATACCATGTTAGGACAAATGCTATCGAGTCCACTGCTTGAGAATACCCTCATGGTGGTTCAGTCAGTTAAGAAGAAAAAAATCAGTTGCTAGAGGAAGACAGAAGCAAGGGAGGACCCGGCAATCTTAGACTTTATTTAAATCGATCCCACACCTGGCCTCAAGGCAGATAAAAGACCAGGCAAAAAAAGGCCATAAACTATACCCGGCTCCAGGCCAACCTTACCTTAATAGCCGAATTAGCATCGATTGAATCACAAATGGACGTAGTAGCTTAGATAGATCGAAAAAGCTGTGAATAGGGCTTCAGTTCTTCTTTTCCCAAGGTAGTTCACGGGGGAGGCAACTCAATACAATAGGTAGCTCAAGCCGATAAAGAAGCTCAAACCAGGCTCAAGGGAAAGAGATGAATGGATAAGAACGATCCCAGATGCCATCCTCAAGTCTGATTAGGATGATGCTTGAACTGGATCCTCTAAAGGGAGTTCCACCGGGGGGAAGAGGAGGTAGCGTTGTCTCTACTATATAATGATTGATTTTCTAGCAGTGAAAATGCAATATCCGATGCAGTTAGCTCGAGTGAAGGAACCGAGACAAGTAGGCCAATTTTCCCGCACCATAGCGTGGTGATACCCTCCCATCTGACCCCGGTAAACCACCCATCGGATAGCCTAGACCTCGAAGACTGCAAAGTAGATGCCAATAGTACTCTTTCCACACTGGCATACACTGCAACTTGAATATTCACAGGATTTGCAGAATTGAGCAGATCGGCTGCACTATGCCTCCTCCCCGAACCATAAAAAGTCGAGCCACCAGCAGCATAGGCAGCAGATACATGTCCACCAATTTATCCACTACCATAAGCAAGAGCAGTTTCAGAGGCAGAGGAAGGAGCATGAGCGGTTTCAGGCCCAGTTGTAAATCGTTCGGTTCCACAACCTACAATATGAAATGCTACAGACCCGAAACCGGGCCATGAGACCCGTAGAGTACCCTCTCAGACCAGCCCCTGCCTATAGTTGTTGAACCCATCGAACCCCCTCCCACTAGAATAGTTTTATTAAAACTCCCTGCTATGGGATAAATCCACTCCTATGGTTGGACGGAGACATGGCAACGGTAGTTGTTGGACCACCAGCGAATTTATTGAGCACATATGCCCCTAAACTTTTAGAATCTAAGGCCAGGTGGTTCCTCCCCGCATTCTGGTAGTCGAGAAGCCCCTCTTGTTTAGGTTGTTCCTATTACTTCGGTATGTCTTACCGCAGCAGGAGTCACCGTCTGCAGAATCAACAGAATCGATTGAACCCAACTGACTCAACATCTTCTGGGTCTACTAGTTCCGGACCTGGAGCTGCTACTTATGTCAGTGCTAGTGATGCTACTCTAGCTCACGATCATGAGTAACTTAACCAACTGACTCACCAACCTTACCAACTTCTGGCTCATCCACTGACTCAACCAAATCAACCGGTTCATATACTGCAAATGAATATGAATTATTAGAATTATCATCCTGGGCGAAGCAATGAGCACTCGACCTTACTTATATTATAAAGGGAGAGGGAATTCGATACAGACTGGTTGGTGTTCCAGAATGAGATAGTAGGCAACATCTCGCATCTCAAGCATCAAGAGTCTTGAGGCACGGAGTATCAAACCTTTCCCTTTTTGAGGTCAAGAGGCATCACTCCCTCCCCTAAATTTCTTTTTCCATTTTAAATTGATGACGGGGCAGGGCAGGAGCTAGCTTTGTGGAGCGAATCGAAGTTTTCATCGCCAGGCCATTATAGTAGTTGTTCAACGGTTCGGGAGGCGGGATTTGTGTCCACTTCTCCACAGCTCGGTCCCAACCAAACCTTACTCGATAGTGGAGGCGACTAACAACTAGCCACTCTGCTTTCACCCGGATGCTGCTTGCTCCTGCATCAATGCCTATGCTTCCGCCATGTCTGGGTAGTACCTCCACTCGAATGATCTACCTACCTCACCTGAGCCCAGTTGAGAGTTCTTACTCCGGATATTTTTTCTTTCCGGATAGTAGGCCTTTGGACCGGCTCTGCAGGCAGGTGATCGTGGCCAACTGAGAAGTGACAAATAGCAGAGCGGGGTGTGTGATTGATACATGTGTACGTTTTACAAGAGCTCAGATGACTAGATAATCGCACGCACACATCATAACTAGGAAAGTTCCCCTAAGGATCCAGTCCCACTCTCTTTCTATCTATAACTCATTCCATTCCCTAGGTCGGGGATTACTACGCCCTTACTTCCAGAGGTAACGGTTGAACGCTAAGCTGCTTCTCAACTCACTGACCTTCCCCGCCAACCCCCTTCCTTTGAATGATTGATTCAGTGTGAGAATATACTCTCTCTGGTGGAACAAAAGCCCTTACTTGTGCTTTAGAACAGCGGGGCTCTAGCTCTTTCTATATTATGTTATTTCGATCCGTAAGTAAGAGTAAGAACCTATCCAGCTGAGCACGATCTAGGCTACAAAGGCACTTCCACTCAGAAGGTGGGTTAGTGGCATTATAGTTCGAAATACTTTAGCGAAGCGGGAAAGCGGCAGAACGCAAACTCTCGTCGACAGTCAGACACAGCCCATCTTGCTGCTCCCCTAGAGGCGCCTACTGAATCGGAGACTTCCCAATCCCCTTACTCCCTATTCTCTCTCAAATAAAGCTGCTGACTTCAAGTCGTCTTGAATAGTGCACAATCATAGCAAGAAGAAGTGGGAATAATGAAAAACTCCCTTACTGCTACTGAAATCAGCCCATGTGCTTCATGCGAGCAACTCTTTCTCGGTTTGGCTACTAAGAGTTCTGTCTTTATCGAATTTCTTAGTGCAGATTTTACCACTACTATTATGAGCGACGATCGACCTACCTAAGTTTTTACTAGTCATCATCGGTTTACCCGCTTGCTGAAACCTCCCTCCATAGCCGATTGAATGGTTGGATAGCCACTCAACTGTTCACTATACTTCCTGTATCCCACTCTCCTCCCTATCTCTCTCGACCCATTCATCGGAGTATGTTGGGCTGGAATGCCTCCATTCCCATCCCATCCTTTATG